ACCCAGACAACCGTCAACACAACGCCTTTGTCTCTGCAGCCTAATCCCGGATGTTTACGTGACCTTGAGAGTACAAAAAGCAGCCAACGTGGACGGCAACCCTTTGCCGGCGATGCGAGGATGCGGATTGGCTGGTTAGCAAATTCGAACAGCTCCTAAACGGTATTTTGAGTGGTGTTTGTGCGCGCTTAAGAGCGTAGCTGTTTCTGAACTCCACACCACACCAAGAGTTTGGCAAAGTACAGTCTCTGTGGCCTTAGCTCATCTTTTTTGCATAAACCTTAACGACTACTTAAATATTAATCAGTAGAAATTATTTTGTTATAGCTGGCGAGTGTATGTCAATAAGCGGCTTGCCCCACCTGGCCCATTTCCTCCTGCGCTCGGCCAAATTCCACCAAACCCACCTCGTGGGTCGACTAAAACTGCTCGAGAAGCTTGTGGAAATGCACCGCGACGCGGTATCCACGGGCGTGGTTGGCGCGAACAAGCGAATCAGCTACCGCCACCTCTGTTCCAGCCTCATCTTCACTCGGCGTCACGTGTACCCCCCGGAGCAGCCGGTTTTCCCGCACAACTACGTCTCCGAGGAGGCCATGGCGGTGTGTTTCGGCGCTGGTGGACTACGACGGGCCCCATCGTCTGCCCTACCCGTCCAGACGCCTCTCAAGGTCGTCCCGCAGCACACCGAGGTTCAACTTAGCTCGTCTGGGTGTCTAATGGAGGCCAATATCAAGGCCAGTCGACTGGTAGGGCCTTCTTTTACTTTTTAAAAATCATTACTACTGATTGATATTTGAGTAGCGAGTGTTTTTCGTGTATTGTAGGCGCGGCGCGTTTTCATTGTGGTGGCGAGAGCCCTGTTGCAGGAGCCGCGGTCAGTGTCGCCTGGAAACGGGACAACCTCCCTTCCGCACGCCGAGAGCTTTGTGAACGCAGAAATCGCGCTGTTAGACGTCAGCTTGGCGGCCAGACTGCGCGCCAAGTTGTCTGACTTCCTGGTAATCAGAGCAGCAGCTGCTGCCGAGGTTGTCGCGTCGCCTGCTGCGGTTTCAACGAAACACGAGCCTCCACCGATACCTCCACCTCGGCGTTTCTCCCAGTCCAAGCCGACGCCATCGGAATCGCGGAAGGTTTCTGTGAAGTCTGATACGGTAACCGCCGCCGCCGCCGCCGCAACGAATACGACGCAGATAATCACACCGAGCGGTATCCGAGTGGCGCTGGAACCGGCGTACGACCACGTCGCGCTCTCAGAAACCGCCCCCTACAGCAGCGGAGACGATGACGACGATGAGGAGGACGTGGAAGAGGAGCCACTGGAGAAGTTGGACTGGGAGGAGGTGGGCGCTGCGCAGCAGGTGAAACGCGAGGCCCCCGCCGTCGCCTCACCACCACCCCCCAGACTGCCTGTCGTGCCAACTCCAGCCGAGTTGTCGGCGCTGAAGACGGCTCTACGGACCGCAGCGTCGTCATCCATCCCCCTGGTGTCCATTCCCAACTTGGCCCAGTCGCTAGACGCCAAGGAACCACTCAAAACGGAGTATCGGTACAGGGAGGGCGTTGATTGGCTGCTGGGCCCGTTTCTTGGTAAAGGCGCCTTTTCGCAGTGCTACCAAGCCCGCGACCTTCGAACCGGCACTCTGATGGCTGTGAAGCGGTTGAGGTTTATGGGCGATTCGTCGGCCGAGTCTATGGAGCAGTTGGCGACGGCGACGGAGGAGGTCGCGATCATGCGTCGTCTCCACCATCCCAACGTCCTGCGTCTCTTCGGCATCGCCTACAACCCCGAGAAACGCCACGTGGACATCTTCGTCGAGTGGATGCCCGGTGGCAGTATCACCAGTTTGCTGAATCAATATGGCGCCTTCACGGAGCCCGTTTCGCTGGCGTACATCCTCCAGGTCATCAGGGGCATCTCTTGCCTCCACAAACACGGAATCCTCCACAGGGATCTGAAAGGCTAGTCGACGTTGCATCTCCTCACCCTCTTCACTACCACGTCGTCTCAACCTGTGATTGTTTTTTTAGGCGCCAATTTGCTTGTCGACGGGACCGGGAGTGTCGTGCGAATATCCGACTTTGGGGCCTCCGCACGACTCGGAACCCAGGGTAGTGTGGCCGGCCAATTTCAGGGTCAGGTGATCGGCACCTTCGCCTTCATGGCCCCAGAGGTTCGTTTTCAAGGCCAAACCCTCGCGTGTATGACTGTGCAGTTCTCAAGGTTTCTATTGGAGATTTTGCAATTGATCGTTGCGAAATGCAATCTGATTGGCTTTCATTTTGCAAATTGGAAGAACTGGAATTCCAGAAACACCAGTCCAAGTTGCCAATCCAGCGTGAATCTTGGATTAATCGTGTGGTTGCAGTCTTGGGCTCTTCTGATTGGTCCAGAATTGGCGGGACTTTAAAATAACGCGGTTGTTTCAAATTGCTCCAAGGTGAAGAGTAGATTTGTATGTTCATTATTCCCGTAATCTTCAGAGGTCAAACCCTCGCGTGTATGATTATGCAGTTCACAAGGTCAAGCGTGCTACAGCGGACGTCAGTGATTTGGTCTCTCTATTGGCGATTTTGCAACTGATCGTTGCGATATGTGCAATCTGTTTGACTTCTTGGAAGATCCTACCTGTTGCCGCATTTCTGGAATTACATGAACACCAGTCCAATTTCCTAATCCAGAGTGGATTTTGGAACAATCGTGTGGTTGCTGTCTTGGGCACTTCTGATTGGTCCCGAAACTGGCGGGATTTTAAAATAGCGCGGTTGTGTCAAATTGGTCCATAGTGTAGAGTGGACTTGTGTGTTCATTATTCCCATAAATCTTCAGATTATTGTTCTGCCTGCTTTGAATTTGGCGGGTTCTTGCGAGACAGCTTTTCATTGGTTGATTTCAAGCTTGTTATCGATTTTTAGGTGCTCCGCGGTGAGACGTATGGCCGCGCCTGTGATATCTGGTCGGTCGGATGTTGTCTCTTGGAAATGTTGAGTGGCAAACCGCCCTGGAACGATTCTCGCCTCACCAACCAGTACGCCCTGATGTTCACGGTAAGCTCTAAACATCATGTGACCCTGGGTCGCGGAAACCCATAACGCGGCAGCTACAATTGTCACGAGTTATCGCGCACTTGTCAGAGGTCACGTGTGTGTACTTGAGCAAACGGTTGCACAGTAGCCAGGTCTAAGTAATGAGCTTGTCTCTTTTATTTCGAATTCGTTCGGCAGATCGCGTCAGCTGATCAGCCGCCATCGTATCCCAAGTCAATCAGTCCACCGGTGAAGAAGTTTTTGGACTCGTGCTTCAATCGGATACCGGAGCAGAGGCCGACCGCGCGTCGTCTGCTCCAGCACCCCGTCTTCTCGTCCATCGTCTCCGCGCCCGAGCCGCCAACGACGGTGTCCCCGGAAGCCGCCGGTCTGTCTAAGAGTTTCACCACTGTCGGCCTCTGCAGCACGACCCGCGCCGCCAGTCGACACCGGGCCCTTCCACCGGTACCCAACGAGCCCCCTCGGTCCCCGCCTTCGGGCTACGACAAACTCGCCTTCAACGTTGCCTCCGGCCAGCAAAACGCCAACAAACAACCACGGCAGCACCAAGTGGTCACGCAGCGAAAGATATGCAGAAATCAGTAAAAAAAACTTGCTACTGAGTGGATATGAGTAGTGCATTTGCCCCCCCGCCCTAAATTTGCCACAGATAATATTTGGCAGCGTGCAAGGTCGGTGGATTTGTTTGTTCCCTCCCATTTTTTTCTTCGGTTTTTTTTCTAAAAATATTCATCCACCTTCCATTTTGTACAACAGCGCCCTCTCCACCTTTGATATGCAAATTTGCGCGTCCGCATTCCGTTGTTTTTCGGTGTCGTGTGAAACAAATTTCACACACAGACTAATTTTAGGATTTTATCATGCTTCTATCTCGCTTCCACCTCCCATATTATCACCGACAGGGTCGATATTAATATTAATGGTGAATTTGTTTTAATGTGCTGTTTCAGTTTGCCGTGGGTGTGGAGAATTCAGACGTTGCACGGGCAAACATTTTTCCCATCTGATTGAAATCGTTTTCAGAGGTGTGTACTGCTGTTTTTAATCGACCTGAGTTCAGGCGATTGGTCGAATGATTTATCAACGTAGGAAGTTACGATATTTGAACGGATAAGTCGCGAGAACAGGATTACGTGACGATTTCTGGTCATGTGACAGAAGTTGGGAGGCATCGTTTGTGAGAAAATTAAAATTTCAAATGCCAAAATTTGCTCAGTCTTTCGATTTGAAATGCACCAATCGGTTGCGCCTTTCTAAGCCAATGAGGTGACTGGGTGCGTGCGGTCAATTTGAATCAGGTGGGAGAAAGAATGAGCAGTTTGAGTTGACTCCCATGCTACAATATATGGCCTCCCAGGTTAACTCGATGTACCATACTACTTAAAAACACAATAAAGTAGTGAGTAAGGTCGAATTTTGGAGGCACGCTGTGCCTGTGTGGCAAGGTCAGCTCATTTTGACAAAAACTATTAAAACAATCCGAACCTCGGAGATTTACACGCCTCTGAGTTGCGGGCCTGGCGTCTGGATTATCGATCAGGATTTCAAAAAGAGTCGCTGCGGTTTCGTGGCAGTCGTAGGTTCACTTCACCTCGCATGGATGACTTTTTTAGTAACTACCAAAGACAGCGTTACCTTTTCCAGCGTGATTTTGACTACGACAGGAACGGCGCGTTAATTGAAGCCTCCCACACCACCTTCACGGGCACCAATGGAATCAAAGGTAGAACTCTGGCAGCAGAGATCGAGAGATATCGGCGTGCGGTGGAATCACTGATCCGTTTTCTCGTTGAGGTCGCTCCTGATTGGTGGGATAAGCGACACCCCTTCAAGGGCGACCTTGTCCTTCGGCCGAGTAAAAGCGCCGACCAACTTCGAGCCATTCAAAGCCGACTCAATGCGCGACTGGGTCGTCTGACGTCAAGGGTGATCCTGCCGGCTGCGGCCGCCGTGGTGTCGATTGAGGAGCAGGACAAGGTCACGGTCATGCCACCGAAGTTCTTCCAGCCCCATTCCGTCGGCAAGTTGACAGCAGTGGCTTCTGATGTGGCTAGCAAATTGATCAACACGGAGGAACAGCTGACTCTGGCGTTGTCGATATCGCGTCGCCTGGGGGAAATCGAACGCCTCAAACAGGAGCTGATTTTGTACGCCCTCGATTGGATAGACGCAGACGGGAATGATCAGAACCTGCGTTTACAGCGATATGACGCCCTGGCAGAGCATGTTGAGGCTTGCCTAATTGAAAAGCACGAAGGCGTGAGGGCATTAATTAAGCATTACTTTCGACGACGCTCAGAATCGAATGCGGTCGGCAGTGTCAATAACAACCACTACGCATCCGAAGACCCGAAAATTCAACTCAAGTACGCATTCAATGCTGTCACGGCTGACACCATCAGTTCCACAAGTCGGGTGATTCTGAACATGCTTGAAGTCCACGAAGCAAACTCGAAGAATGTACCCATTTTCAAGGTTCTCAGCAGTGGCAGCAGGCGATTGGAGGATGTGAAGGGAATTCCAAAGGATTTCGAAGAACTCTCGGTGGAGGAGCTCACGCGTTGGGCTGCACAACATTTAAAAGCAAAAGACGAATCAACCACAGATAATTCAACCTCAAGGAGTGAAGCTGTTTCGGTTGAGTGGCTGGGATTCAGCGAAGTTAAGCCACATGGCGAATCACTCGGACCGAATTCCCTAACCTTGGGAAGTCTCAAGAGTGATCTTGAGACCTTGGAAGACGATGGAGACGGTAGAGGTGGTGGGTTGGATCTTGACAAGGACACCGACTTCGAAGATGTACGGCAGCGCCTGATTTTGGACATGCGTCGACGTGAACACGAGGCATCTGACCACTCGTCTTCGCACAGACGAGTGCTGCCAAGGATCAAGTCATTCGAGGATGAGCTCATGGCTTCATCGCACTCATCCATGTCCACAGACCATCGGTCAATACCGAGCCACGGTGGGGGAGAAAGTTCCACAATCTCGTCCAGAATGGCGACAATGTCAACGAATTCTGTAAAGAGAGCTAAAAATTATGAGAAAAGGCCGCCAAATACACCAGCGAATGAGACTTCATGCGATCTTGGAGAAGAGATAGCTTTATTAGGCGAAGAATTTCGCAAATCTCTGTCAGGCTAAAGTGAATAAAATGCAAAAATTACTAAACGGAGGCGATTTTTTTAAAATGAGAGTTCCGATATTTCTTCAATTATTTTCCTCTGGTGCAAATTACGGAACATCTATATTATTAGTGATATTGCTTAAGGCGGTACGCTTAAAACAACCGCATTGGTATTAAAAAAATCCTTATCAGATGGTGCTCAGAAGTCCGGTAGGTTTAGAACTTTAAATGTCCACGATGAAAATTACACTGCTTTAAGATGAGATTTATCCTGTAATACAAACTTGACTTAAGTTATATTTTTGAAATCACATTAATTGCGACAACCTAAATAACATGGACTTGAAGTTAACTAACGTTACTTGAACTTATAAACAGCTCTGCTCTCTATTTTTTTTATACTAAATTAAATTAAAAATTTTCACGGGGCGTCACGGTATACCTGATTTCCATTTTATCAACAACGATTGTATTGTGTTTAGCATATTGGATTTTAGATAGAATAGAGGTCAGCATGAAAAATAAAACAAATACGGCCGTAGTTAAAAAATCAGAGGTACAATTTTGAAACAAGATTTATAGTGTAAATACATGTGATTTAATAAGCTGTCGCACATGACATAAACACATTTTTGTTTAATCTTTAAAAACCTTCCCAAGTTCTGGTATTTAAAAAGATTTATTGGTGAAATTCTCCTCTTCTCGCTGGCAGGCTATCGTTTTCTGGACTACCATTTACGTGTCTCCAATGTTTCCCTAACAGCATTCAGATTTCAAAATGACTATCTCGCACATTTTGGATTTACTCTTGGTGGTATATTGCCACAAAATCCACTCAGATTAATTCAGTTTTTAATGATGGCTAAGAAACTGTACAAAATAAATAGGCTTAAAAATTATTTGCATTCAAACTCAACAGGTAGGTATTATTCTACTATATTATTGATTGTCCAAAAAACTACTGAATCAACAAACCCTTAAAATAATTTAGGAAATTTTGAAATTTTTAAGACGTTTTAATAATGTTTTTGACAACATTGTTAAATATCAACTGTTTGGCCGTGGAATAGTTTGTATAGGTCGCATCATAACGACGACTTTTAAAAAGAACGCTCACCAACGGTAACGCATATTTGGTAAGTTTTCATTTCGTGGCTTTTATATTTGTTACTAAAAGAGCCAATTTATTGTCTAAAGGTACTTAATGTGATTGTGTTTTAAGTAAATTAGGAAGCTGTTACTAAAGTATTTTGTTTTAAGGTTGCATGGTAGAGATTTTGCAACATAACAAATTGAAAATAATTTGTTATGTTGTTTTGTATTTTGATCTTATATTTTAACCTTTTTAACAGATAAGTTACTTTTTTAATTGTGCAGACAGAAAAAAGGCTGACCACAGAATTTGTAAAATTATTGAGGGAAGACTGAGTGGAGATTATCGATGTACCTTAAATTCCTAGCAAACATAATTATTGTTTATTTAAAATTGTATTAAATTCAAAACTGCTTAATGTAACGCGCAAATTGTCCAGGTATATTTTATTTTTACCATTCTTTAATTTGAATGTTAGCATTTGCTTTTTCTGAAACTTCAAACCAGCATTATGTTATACACTGATTAAGCATTAAATCATGCTCTTCTTAAAACTTTGTAGAATTTTTTCAAACTTTTCGTCGCTTTCTTTGATAAATTAATTTAAGAACTGGAAGGTACTTTGCAATATTTGAAGCAGGACAAAATGTCTGTGCAAAAGTAAATGACAACATATGTCAGAATTGTAGGAAATAGTAAGCATATTTAGACAGCTTATTGTTGAGGTTATATAGTTTATATAGGTTGTTAATCTTCTTTTATTTATCGTTGCAAGACAGTGAAAATGTTGCGCACGATCCATAAATAATCAATTATCTGCTATATTTCGTCCAGCAACTTGCCAAACTCCCGCAATTATTCTCCAGCAACTGCATAGCATTTGCCCGCCATGGTAACCCAAGTCTGCGAGGGTCAGTTCACCTCAACGATTTACGGTTTCGTGAAGGAGCGAAAGTATGCCGAGGCAATCGACATTCTCACTCAACAGCGCTACGTCCACCCCAACTCGCGCGCGGCACTCTCCCTCCTCGGCTACTGCTACTACCAGATCCAAGACTTCGTGCAGGCCGCCGACTGCTACGAGAAGCTAGCGCAGGACAACCCCACCAACGATGACTACAAGCTCTACTTCGCGCAATCCCTCTACAAGGCCTCCCTCTTCGAGCCTGCAATGAAGGTGGTGGTGCAGATTGAGAATCCGGAGTACAAGGATCGGGTGATCAAGTTGCAGGCGGCGATTCGTTACGGTGAGGGTGACATGACCGGGGCCGCGGCGTTCATTGAGCAGTGCCTTGTCGACGATCCCGACACGTCGGTTAATGTGGGGTGTCTGCTTTACCGCGAGGGCAAGTACCCCCAGGCGTGCAAACGCTTCCAGCAGGTCATGACGGTGCGACATCTTCCACTTGATACAAACCAACTATTTAGAAGTTGCCAGTAGCCTGTCTTTATTCGTATTTTGTTGTAGGTGGTGGGGTTTCAACCGACCATAGCCTACAACATTGCGCTTTGCTTCTACCAAATGAAGCATTATGCCCAGTCGCTGAAGCACATCGCGACAATTATTGAAAAGGGCATTCACGACCACCCTGAATTAGGCGTCGGAATGATCACAGAGGGCCTAGAAGTTCGTAGCGTGGGCAACACAAATACCCTGCAGGAGACAGCCCTAGTTGAGACGTTCAATTTAAAGGTAAGTCGGAGTGGGGGCCGCAAAAATACACTGGTAAATCAATGCTACTGAAGTCTAAACAAGTAGTAATGATTTAGATGTTTTTGTGCCATTAAACAGGCGGCAATAGAGTACAACCTCGGCGATATAACGGCGGCCTGCGAAGCCCTCACCGACATGCCGCCGCGTTCCGAGGAGGAGTTGGATCACGTGACACTGCACAACCACGCCCTCATGAACATGGAGACGGCGCCGTTGGCAGGCTTCCAGAAACTGCAGTTCCTGCTGCAGCAGCAGCCAACCTTCCCCAAGGAGACCTTCGCGAACCTCCTCCTGCTCTACATCAAGCACGGCTACTTCGATCTGGCCGCGGACGTGTTGGCAGAAAACGCGCCGCTCGCCTACGAATGCCTCAGCCCGGAGCTGCTGGACTTCATTGAGGCCGTGGTGATGCGTCAGACGGCCCCCGAAGACGCCTACAAGTGAGTTTTGCGTGAAGAAAAAGCCTCCAATTAGTTGATGTTGTCATTAGTTCGCTGTGCGGACAAGGATTAGACTTGATTAATTTTTGTGATTTATTTTTTTTTAAATATTGTTTTTTTTTCACTGACCAAAAAAAGCTAACAAGAGGCTAATCGAAGTTGTTTGAGTTCAGAGCAATTTTACTTTATTTTTTTGGCCATTTTGCACCATGCACTTCTGCTTATAAAAAATTATGCTGAAAGTTCTGATAAATGTTTTGATTAAATTATTATTAATAATAATTCAGCATTTTTTTAGTTAAATATTTCTCAGTTATCGCTATTTTTAAAATTTTTTCCCTGACTTCTAAAAATGTATATAATTTCCAGTGCTTTCTAGTTTTATAATTTTATAAAATTTGTTATAAATATTCCGTACCCGTTAGGCATCAACTCTTATAATTAATTGATATGATTTCAATTTTTTTTAATTTCAGTTTTTACTGATTTCTTATTATTTTTCCTAGTTTCTTAAATTTTTTAAAGCATTATTTCGTACTGGGCAATTACCATTTTTAAAATTGATTGCCATAATTTCTGAATTTATGCAGTTTTTTTTTACATTTTTATTGGTAGATCCTGGCAATATTACTTGCAATATTGAGTTCTTTTGCCTACCTTGAATTTACTTTACACGAGTGTCAGATATTTATTTACTTTTTCAGTACAGTAAGTTTTTTTTCTAAAAATTGGTATGTTTCGCACTCACCTTTATTATTATTTAAATCTTCTTTTATTTTTGTGCCATTTCGCTAATTTATTCTGTAATATTTGCCTACTTTTAATACCTTTGACACGACAATCAAATATATGCCTAGCTTTTTTTTTATTAAATACGCTTTTTTGAATTTTTTTGCCCTCCATTTATTTCATGCAATTTAATTAGCCGCCTCGACCAGATGGTGGGCAAGAGCACGGAGCACCTGCGAAATCTCACAAAGCAGATTCAGGAGGCTCGCAAAGCCCAAGACGACGAGGCGCTGAAGGTCTCCGTCAACGAGTACGACCTCGCTGTCGAGAAGTACATAGCTGTCCTCATGCAACAGGCCAAAATCTACTGGGATGTGCATAATTACCAGCAGGTGAGCAGTCCTTGTGTCCACACCACGATGATGGCAATGCTTCCACTGAATTCCGAGCCAAAAGGTGGTGTTGCTCAGCACATTCCACACGGATGCAGTCACAACCGAATCTCCGTGCGCTTTTATTGGTAGTCGCCAAGGTCGCTTTCCCATTGGCCAAATTTTCAAGTTGATTTTTGCACCCTGTAAAACAACTTAAGTGTTCTGCCGGTGGGTTTTAGGTCGAGCGCATCTTCCGGAAGTCTGTGGAGTTTTGCAACGACCACGAGGTCTGGAAACTGAATGTGGCGCATGTACTGTTCATGCAGGACAACAAGTACAAGGAGGCGAGCGAGTTCTACGAGCCAATCGTGAAGAAGCACTTCGACAGCCTCCTCAGCATCAGTGCCATCATCATCGCCAACTTGTGTGTCACCTACATCATGACGAGTGTCAACGAAGACGCGGAGGAGTTGATGCGGAAGATTGAGAAGGAGGAGGAGGCGCTGGCGTACGAGGACCCCAACAAGAAGGTCTTCCACCTGTGCATCGTGAACCTCGTCATTGGAACCCTGTACTGCACTCGGGGGAATTATGACTTTGGCATTAGCCGTGTTATCAAGAGTTTGGAGCCCTACCAGAAGAAACTTGGCACGGACACCTGGTAAAATACAACCTACTGAAAAGCGTTTCAGTAGCCGTGATATTGCATAACGTTTTCTTTTACATTTAGGTACTACGCCAAACGGTGCTTCTTGTCGATGATCGAAAATATGGCCAAGCACATGATTATGATCAAAGATAGCGTTCTTCTAGATTGCATTGAATTTCTGGAACATTGCGAATGCAAGTCCAACCGTTTCTTGAATAGCTGGATGACGCGGCATCCACACACACGCACACACAATCGACCTATTCTTTTTTTCTCTTTCTAGTGTATGGCAGAAACGTGAAAGTTCAATCTGAACAGCCATTGGACGGCACTAAACTCCACCCGGGTCGCAACACCGTGACGTACGAGGCTCGTGTGCTGAAATCCCTGCTTCTTGAACTAATGAACAGATAGTTTTCTAGACGGGTTTAGCAGTTTTCACCCCGCCTGAGGCGGTGTAGAACATTGGTGGGGCGTTTGACTGCTGTGCATTTTCAAATTAACCAATCAGGACAGTTTGGGGTAGTGTTTCGTGCGAATAAACCGGTCGCACACACACAAAGCACTGAAACAGCTGACACACCTGAATCTCCAATTTTTCATTGCATCTGCGCGAATTCACACGTGCACGCCTGACTCCCGGGTAAAATTTTACTGCAGTGCAGTGAATTTGTGTCTTTAGACAAATAACAAATGTTTTGAACTCCTGGCAGTAGTGTGTCTATGGTTTATGGCGCACCAAATGCTGAACTTCCCCTCGCCCCAAAAAAATTATCCCTCTCTCACTCCAGCAACTGCGTAAAATGTCCACTGATACTGGTGGTAGCGAGTTGGGATGCATGGAAGCTAAACGCCAAAGGCATTTGCACGTCTCTCATTCGTCGCTGCACTTTCTCATGATGCTGTAAACAATTCTAGCCAATCACTGCCGTTGATGGGGGGCGATCGATCTCGTCACTTTGATTGGTCAGCTTATTGTTCGGCTCGATTATCGATTTCCTTGATGCTTCATCTGGCAGTCGATCATGACTCCCAAACGACCCGATTGCGAAACGAGACGACCTTAGAGCACTCATTTGGGTGCCTTTAGTGACTAGCTAATTTAAAGTGTGCAGTGAACCAATGAGGTGAAGGCGCGGTCCTGGTGAAATGGTGTGCATGGCGAACTCAGACAATCGCAATATAAAATCACAAAATTTGGGAACAAAGTTTTAGGTGTGGGTGCTCTCGGGTCCCAATTTTCAAGGTCAAGACGAATTCAAGTAAAGTTTTGCGTAAAAAAAGACATTTGTAAGAAAAATTCAATCAGGCAATTGTACTTTTGTTGATAGTTATGAAATCGACAATTTTGAGTCGATTCTCACGCGCGAAAACTCCTATCTCATTGTCATTTACAGTGACCTAATCACATGGGCTTTAAATAAAAGTTCTAAAATCACCGAACTAAATTTGTTGCTTTCTGATGGATGCAAAAGTCACCAACTGCTCGTAAGACGGCTTTGCAGTCTTTTTTGTTGAGCAGAAAGAAGGGTGCTTTATGCAAATTTCCCACGAGACAATCAGCGAAATGAATTTCTTGTCTCCTCGACCACGAAATTCAGACTAAGAAATGCTAATTAGGTGTTGCTAGAATGAGGTGAATTAGCCAAAAAGGGGCAATTTTGCTCAACTTTTAAGCGTCCACATTTCCTTGGGTTTAATCATAGGCGCGGGTTCTGTTTACACGTGTGTGTGTGTGTGTGAGGCGGAATCGGTACATTTGGGGGAACGTGTGTAACTCGATTCATCCGCATTCCCTTTCCAGTCAAAACAGACGGCCCCAGGGTCACTAACGTGCTCGCCTTCGTGGAGTCCAATTACGGCGTGGCGGCTGGAGACTCCAGGGGGTGTTGAATCGGTCCATTCACGCCACGCAGACACCTGAGAAGACTGGAGACTACAGAGACACAACCATCACCCAGACAACTCAACGTCTGACTAAATGGGGCTATCGATCTTGCGAAAGTACAAATGGTCGAGCGGTAGTGTGTGGAGGTAGTTGGTGCTTCCTCCAGCACCAACAAATACGATGAGTGAAGATGCTGTGGGCGAAAAAAATCCATTTGTGTTAACACCGAGGGCGTTAATTGCGCGTTTTTTAAAGACGTGAGTAATCCACGCGGACATCAAAGACACTTCCCAATTGGGGAGGAGTGGGGCGTAATTAAAGACCACGACAGATGGACGGAAGTGGCCTGTCGTGCGGGGGGTCTGAGAGATGCCGAGGTGGTCCAAAAACCAACCTGACGCTCAGAAATCAAAGCGTTTTGCAGGCTCCCAGGATAATGTGTCGAATGAGAGTTAAAGCGAGCATTTAGGAACAAATTTGGTGTGCGATGGATGCTCAAAGTGGAATATAGAAAGTCACAGTTTTGGACACGCTGTGTTAGAGGGAGTTGAAAGACGGCGTTGGGGAGGTACGTGCATCAGCAAAATATCATCAAGACGTTGGTTTGGATCGCGGTGTGGTGTTCTTAGGGCAGGCACGCAGTGTTCAAGTCGATCTCGGAGAAGCTTCGATATTGTTCGTGGTTGCCACAGATGAGGTTGCTGCAAGATC